GAAATCGAAACATTCGGAGCCGATGTGGTATGAACCTGAAGATCTGGCCGATACTTCGAGAAATGAATCTTGAACACAATCAACAAAAGAACTCGGGGAAGATGGGAAATACCCAAGCGCCTTCTATACAAAATTCAATAAATATAGAATCAAATATAGTTAAAAATTCAAAATGTAAATGAACTACCTGCTCAGCGAAATTTTCTGCCCATGCAGCATTTTGTTCAGCAGTCACGCTTTCTTTCAATTTGAACGTCAACACTAAAGATTGAGCGCGAGAGATGGCACCGTCGGAGTCTGTCTCAACACCTGAAATGAGATTTTAGAGTCAATTAGTAATGCTTTTGTATTGCTCATATGTGATGTTAATGAAGAACGGACAATATCAATGAAAAGCGAGCACTGATTGCACGCATAAATGCATTCCTTCAAAACTCCTCAACGAAAATGGAAACCACCATTTCCAACCCTCTAACCAAAGAAAATCAAACTCGCCTCCAATAGATCCTCCAAGATAAACTCGACTGAGATTCGTTGAATCTTTGGTCATGCTAACAAACGTTTCGGGAAACGTCAGTGCCACCTAAAAATCCACATTCGAGCTATGAATACGGCAATTGAGAAACCGAATGATGAAAAATATGGTAGACTTCGCAATTGAAACAATGGTACTTTATCTACTTCTGTTGTCAATTAATTGTTGCCAAAGACTTATAAGGCGGCAGCGGCAGCAGCATGAGCTGAAGTATAAACCCTATCGAGGGTCTATCAGTGCCTCTGCAATTTCTATGAGTGTGAACTTATTCACAGTATTCAAACACGTAGACTTCANGTCAAAGCGACCTGGAAATCCACATTCAAATCATGAATACAGCAATTGAGAAACCTAGTGATAAAAATATGGTAGACTTTGCAGTTGAAACAAAAGGACTTTCTCTATCCTTGTTGTCAATTAATTGTTACCAAAGACTTAAAAGGCCTTAGCGGCAGCAGCGTGAGCTGAAGTATAAACCCTTTCGAGGGTCTATCAGTGCCTCTACAATTTCTATGAGTGTGAACTTATTCACAGTATTCAAACACGTAGACTTCATAAGGTACAAAGGAGTGAACCTTCTGAAGTTCACCAAACCCGTTTAGGGATGCCCGCACGCCACGCATCTGTCCTCCATTCACAATCGTAGTGTCGTTTTTGAATGCGTATGTGGCCTATACAACGACTTACGTTGGCTAGCTGATGCCCCGAGGAATGAAAGGCATGGTTGGTCTGGGCGGATATCGATTCCAAATTTGATCCCCGGACCATGCATGTGCACTAGTGCCCCTTTTCCACTACACCACCCTTTCAAAACTTAATTCAAGAGTTTACAAAGGGGAATTCACGAGCATGCATTACAATACCACGGTAAAGTCATTATGAAGCACTACTACGTGCTTGACATTTCCGCAAAACCGTGACGAAACCACACTCCCATGTGCAACGTCAATGGGAAGACCTACCAGTTGACTAAAAAACTTTTATGAGTTAATCGAAGGGATTACAATCCGCTACGTCTTGTAAGGAATGTACTGCATATCAATAGAAATGTATAGGTTGTTTGAAAAACTTCTTCAATTAAAGGCTCCGCAAAAAAGCCATGCACATGAGAAAAGGAAGTGGAAATGGTCAACAGGCTAACGGTAAAGAAGGTTACACAGAATTCAAACTGAGCTCTATGAAATGCAAGAATAACGTGAACAAGATAATGCCAGCAATCACTTTTTCATCCCTAACAAAACTGAGTTAACCTCTCTGATCGAGCTAAACAAGCTGACCCTTGCCCCACCAACTCGCTCAGCTGAATAAGTAGCCCCCATCAGGCCAGTTATGATAAGGGGCTCATGATTACTATTGTCGCTATTTTCGGGTAAAAATTTGCCATGTCAGCCACCGCGCAGTTCCCCCCACCATCTGTGAGTCCCTTGTTCAGATATAAACATCGCCTTCAATGGGAGCCCTCAAAATTCATACAGGACCTCACCTGAGGACTCTTCTTGATTATCTTATCGACCATTTCCTTCTCCATTTCACACTCCGCTGGACATGACTCCAAGAACTAAACAGGATCACGATGGGAAATTCCAGAAGATCCAAAGAAATATGGGAACTGGTAATTCGATACCTCTCGATTTCCGATAGGAAAATTATCAAGCCGTTTCTTTAATGCTGAATAGGCTAGCACTGCATCTTTACGAAGGATGGTGTCTCTTGCGACCCTAGAAAAAATAAAAAATACCTAGCATGCACAAATCTACAAAAACATACACTGAGTTATTCCAAAGTTGATTCAGTTGTCTTATGTCAATAACTAATTGGAAAAAATTAAAAATTAGTCGAAAAATGAAAAATAAAGTAAAAATTCAATCGTAGCGGTAGAATGTCTTACATTGTCCTTAGCAATACAGCGTATGTGGATGTATCGAGAAAATTCAATGCCGTAAATGCCGGATTACTGTAGTTAAAGTCCCGCTGCGTTCGCTGTATACTGTATCCATTGGAGATGACGTCATTACCATTACCGCCTAGTACAGGGAACGGCAACGTGGCTGTCATTTTATTGCGGTATAGCACAGGACCAATTAAAGATGCCGAAACGAAGATTAACGGCAGCAGCTGGAATAAAACAATTTTTTAAAATGAAGTCGGATAAAAATTTGCAGTAAATTCAATGACTGACAAGAATCTACTAATGACAAGTGAAGGGTTAAACTTTATCAATAAAAAGTAAAAATAAAAAAGCACATGAAAAATAATAGTAAGAATAAATACTTCTCATTTAGCCTTCTGACTGTTTGAGTGAGAGTAAAACTTCAAAATTCTTAGAAAAACGGAAAACCAAATTTTCAAACGACACCATTCAAAAAAATTTTTTTTGAATACTTAAATAAATAATTACTTAAATACTGAAAACTTTGAATACTTGCACTTGAGAGTGTTAACTGATCCATCCCTTCAAGTACACCAATATCTGCTATCCAAACTACTTTTAAAGTCCTACCACGAATAAAAGTTTATGGTTTGCAATTGCTTTGCCAAGATACCACAAGGCACGACGTAGTCCAGCTTCAACGAAACGTAACGAGCGAATCCGATAGACACCAGTTGAGAAAGCTGAAAATTCTGATATTAAGAATTTGATGTAGCTGATAAACAGTTTGAATAGGTTGGATGCGAGCTTAAGCACGAAGGGTGTGTATCCTGTGAAAGATCAATTTCTATTGAAACAGCATACCTCCTTTTTGGCTCATATGAAAAAAATGATTTAGTCAGAAATTATTCGGACAATTAAAAGCACATTCGACGATTGGATACCCAAGAAGATAAGCCGTTCGAATTGGAAACGGCATAAGATTTGTGGTTTGGAGCCCTATGGGAAGTTTTGCGGTCGTAATATGCAAGATATCCAAGAAGCTGACCGCTCATTGAGGTTCTCCTCACCCAATGTTAACAAACATCACAAGGCAAAAAGGCTTGCAATAAGTCATAAAATAATGAAACTTGAACCGCAATTGAAAATCAAGTTAAAATTAAACGTAGAAAATAAGATTACAGCAATGAAAGTAGCGCTAATAGGAAAGAACGAGTGGTAGCAACAAACTTGCTGTGGTATCGACATAAAAAGTCACGAAACACCAAATTTCTTGCTACGCACAGTGAGGGAAATCAGTAAAGGAGAAAGTGGGTTCTTTTATAATTTCAAGGGTTGTGGCGGTTTCTTCCTCTATTTACTCTTCCTTTCTTTTCTTTTCTCCTTGCTCTGTTCCTTACTAAGCATACCCATTTCAATTTTCTAGCGAGGCTAATCTCCTGCGGCAAATGGGTCTTGAATATTTCTTACCCACAATTCTTTTAACACGCACGCATTGAGCTACTTCTGAAGAATTCTGAAAAATCTTTAAAAAAACATCTTAAGGGTATGAAAGGCATATTCACGATTCAGGGCACGATTAGCTGAATGAGAAGGTGATCGTCCAAACTATAAACTGGGCCAAATCTGCAGTTTGAAGCTATATGGGAGGGAACTATAAATTGCGCCAAATTTTCAGTTCGAAGCTCCATAGGAGAGTACCTATGGTCGAGCCGTAATATATAAGATGCTGACCTCCTCGATGTCGTTTTCCATGTGATCGAGCCATTTCCATCTGGCGAACATAATGTGCGATTTGCATGTCATTGGTGATTCGTCGTACCAATGCTTGCTCTTTCTCCATCTTGCGCTCCTTCCGCTCCAAAGTTGTAGCGTTCGAATGCGGCTCCTTAATATCGGTTACTTCATATGGACATAGATGATAAATGGAAACTAGGTGAAGTAGAAAGCATAAATTAAAAGAAACACGGTCTTTTTGGGAGGGAACGTGGAGAGAGATCAACGAAAGAGAATGAAAATTAAGAAAGATAGATGAACGATCAAGAAACAAAATTCTCCCTAAAATCCGAGAAAACCGTCAGTTGATAGATTTCAGCCAGAAAACTGCCTCTCAACCTTAAAAACCACTGGCTCACCTCCACGTAACTGGTTCTCTCCTTTAGAGGAGGATGTGTTGGCGATTTTCGTTGTTTGCCAGCTTCGGTAGCGTCTGCCGTTTCTGCGTTTCTACTTTGTTCGTCCTTTTTCTCCAATTCCGCAAGAATGTTCAGTTCACGTTGTTGCCGCTCACGTTCTTTTGCTCGCTCTCGCTTCAGCGTGCTCAATGTGCCCGTAGTACGTGTCAGCGTGTTCGATTGTGAAGCAGACTGATCTTCAGGAACTGATGGTGGCGGTCCAAGCTGGAAAAAGGGCTAAGTTAAAGCAAGGCGAAGCATGACAAAAGTCTTAATACTAGAACACAATAGAACAAACATGATGATTGACATGAATTCCTCCTAGGAAGGAAATGCAATAGAAAAGTATAGTCGAGACATTCCTAATAGTTAACAAAATGCTAGTTTAGTGTGAAAATTTCAAGATAAGTCCCAAGAAACCCAGAAATCCTATCGAACTTACATGGCGTCTAAAGACAAACTTTATAAGGTTGTCATCTTGTGGAGTGTACACCATACAAACTGATTTCGTCTGGACAGAAGTTAGAGCTTCAGGTGATTACGATCGACTTTCCAGAATTCAATGTTGATTTACATGTTTGGTACTGTAGTTATGATCACTTAATAGGTTTTTGCTGTTAAATGCAAACTTGTAATTTCACCATTATTAGCTTCAATTCTGAAAGAAGCAGTTTAGTTCCTCGAGAAGCTGCTAACACACGTATGGCGCAAGCTTTTCACCTCCCCGCATCAGTGAATCAGCACAGGTCGTCTATGAGTACCAGTATGCGTGAGCAGGTCATATGTGGACGCATTCAACTACGAGTCTCAAGAGAGTTCGAGTATGTACTTCCTCCTTTACTGGTTCTTACTAAAATTTTCCAGCGTTTGCCGTTTGCATTATAAATTATCGTTATTATATTATACTTGACTTTCAAACCGACTAGACTAATTCGAAGCTTCGTCACCTCCTGAAAGGTCGATTTTACAGCCCTCGCAAATTATGAACATTGCCGTTACCAACTGTGCTACCGTCTTACGCTCTCCTTGACCTGAATTCCACCTACCCCCTCTCTAGCTTTCGTGGCAATATGTTAGATGTTAACTAGACTGTTAGACGTGCTCAGAAAGTATCATCAATTTCCATGAGTACACCTGCACTGTCACAAGTGACATAGCCATGTTAGGTGTCCCCGGTTCGAGAAAACAAAAATGAGAGGCTCTATAGAAGAATGATAGACATTACATATTCTCCCGACTCTATCCCACATCCCATTTGCGATTCTCAAAGAAACGTCGTTAACCTCATAATGCTAAAAGATTCTTCAAATCTTGAATGACCTTAATCACTTCATACTTGAAATACGAAATACGCCCTTCCAAAAGGAACTGGTAAATATTTATGGGCGTTTAAAGAGAGCATGGGAAAGTAAGCATGATCAAATGGGAGGCGGGCTGTGCCTAGAGAAATCCCTTTACGAGTTGTGCAGATCGTACTAGCGCCTCGAGTTACGTCACCCCGAATCGAATCGAAACGCCACAGTTCAATTGTGCAATTCATCCTGATGATTTTGTACCTCATTTTTGGGTGCGCCATGCATTCGACCTTCGATTACAACTAATTTGGCCTATGAATGTTTATTTGGTCTATGCAGGGTTTTGCCAAGGCTGAAGCTCTAGGCTTTAACTTTGCTTTTGCTTATCTCTTCCCAGACAAAATTACTGAAACTGATGGACCCCGGAGGGAAGGCAGATCGGTTGACAGGGGCAAATATTGTTGCTGGGCCATCTAATCAAATTATTTTAATTAATTAGAGTGCGAACCCTCCTCAATCGCTTTGTAAAAAAGTACTTCGTTGACAACAAACAAAATGGAAAAAAATCCGAAGAAATATAAAATCCCTTTCATCTTCACATTCCCTCACAGAATTTATAGAAGTTCATTCCCCCATGCCACTGACCTAAAACACCCGTCACAATTCATGACGTATCGTATGTACGTTCGCTGTATATATCATCTGCGTAGTTGCAATGAATTGGGCACTTTTCTGGATCGTCTCGAAATCCCCCAAATAACTGAAGATGCGCGGTCAACTGGGGAGCGCACCGGACGACGAAGACATTGGCCTCGTCTTACCCGTTGACGTTGATAGAGTGATCTTGACCCAATTCGCCACCACCTTATCACACACCATCAACAATCCTTAACAATACGCGGTTACATAATAAACTTGCAGTGCTATGTACATGACAAACACCGACCGAATACTTTACTGCTACTGGTAGAGCAGTGTCAATAAGGTGTAGACTGTCAGGAAAGTCAAAAAGTGGGAAAAAATTAAGTAAAAGGTCAGAAAGTATAGGAAAAATGATTGTGGCTCCAAAGGGAGATAAAAATCGGGAAATAAACCATAATTATTCCAATTTTTTTAGACAAAAATCAGGGTTTGGAGGCAGTAGGAGCTGTAAAATATAGATGTTTGAGAAAAAATGTCCACTCATGTGAGGGAATCGAATCGAATCAAGGCTAGCCGCTTCTTCGTCTTTTCTCTCTCCTAACTTGGTTGTTACTTTCTGCAAAATTTTAGCGCTCTCTTCAGTTGTACCGCGCCTCTGAGCGTAAAAAATGAGGAAAATAATCAATTAAACAATTGATTAATAAAACAACAAATGAACAAAAAATTTAAGGACCTAGAATAGCGAAAATTTTTACAAAAAAGTCCGCAATACGGACGAAGAAGGCCTGCCTATCAAAATAGCTTGCCGACTGCCCGACAGTCAAAATCCAAAATGTTTTTTCGATAGACACAACAAAAAAGTTACCCCTAGAGATAAAAATTCACTTCTTACCTACCATAAGCTCGAGGGCGTTTCCAAAATAGCAAGTAGGAAACATGTTCTGTCGAAATCACTAGCACTGATCTACTGTTTCGAAGAATGTAACCCAAGTTGCGCTCTCATAACTTTATGCGGTTTTAAACCTGATCGGAACTGAATATACCCATGGTCAACTTTTGATAACACCAACTGCTCATTAATCGAAACAATCCAGACACCAATTGTTTAGCCAATGGATCAATCTCCGTTGCAATACCATGAACAACGGATTTCTACCAAGCCAACAGCTAAATAGGCTGGTCACTACCGGTCATCAGGCGTTGAGTCAGACAAAGATGCTAAGTCGCTGGCATCTAAAACCAGAACGCTCTGAGAGGTACTGCTCTTCCCTGAAGACGATTGTTTCCAACTTTGCTTGCTGTTCAGCCGACTGTTGTGCCTGACAGGACTGTTGAGCCATTCTAGTGATGTACCATTAGCCGTTCAGTGAGGGTTTTACAGGAGGTATAGCATAATAGAGGACTTGACAAGCGTAATGCTTGCTTTTCATAAACAGTATTGCTGCAATGAATGAAAGCGTGCTGTACTCAGGGACGCTTACAGTGGTAGGGGTAGTCTCCTCGTGGCTTCTCTAAATAGCCTGCTGACCCTTAATATCCGAGCGCCATGAAGAAATAAGTGATATTTGGTGTCGATGCAAAGAATCGAACCAGCGACTACATACATTCAAGCATGTTTCCAAGCCGATTCGCCGAATCCGCTGTCTTTCAGATGATTAATATGAGCATAACGACGATTGGAACATGACAGGGTAATTAATAATCACAAAAGAAATCGAAGGAAGAAGAGGAGGAACTAAATATTTATAAAGTAGGATTCACATGATTTGATTTTGCTATTTAATTCATTTCCAATATGGCAACAAAAAAAACTGAGTTTCTACTGAAATAGCATAATCCAATCAATAAAAACCTGCCTTTAGAACTTTTCTCAGTAAGGGAATATCATTCCGAGGTGGTGGAGCCGTAGCAGTTTTTGCAATAATCACTGGCATAACAATAACAATAACAACAACACACCACCGTAGACGGGGACGAGTCGAACTACTAACACAGCTGGATTAGTTCAAGATCGTTCTATGACAAACGAGCATATCTCATCACACTGAACGTCGTAGATTTTCAACAAAAAACTGTGATTAATTACGCTGGATTAGGCGAAAATACTTGATGAAAAAAACGTTTTCTGCGCTGTGTGACGATCCGTAATCGTAGTAATGACCGCAATCGGCCCGTAGCCGATGCACGTGTACATCATTGTGAAACAATTTCGGCGCTAAAGGTTACTGATTTGTGACGAACTAGCAGTAACTGGCCGAAATGGATGGGACGATGGACATCGTGTTGAACTCTTGCTGAACGCCACGCGACAAAACGCCAACTAATGGCCGGCGCTGTTAGAAGAGTAGGTAAGCGGCTTGCTTCAAAATGGAGGCATCCAACAAAGCTTAGCCAAGGTTTCCAAATTTTTGAAAATACCGAAAAGGGCTTGTGTGATGGGCGCTCAATGGTTAGCATTGCCGGTATCCCCAATAGTGCGAAGAATAAACTGAGGTCAAACCTTTTACAAATAATAGTAATCGGTTTTTACGGTCAAAAAGAGTCGCCGAACCATAAAAGTTGTGGATTGCCTAGTGTCGTAAAGGATAACATGGTCCGAAAACTACCGCTCATCGAAGATGAACTAGAGATCTGTGATTTACCGGCCCTGTTAATATAACGAATTGTAAATACTTATGGATTCCACCTCACCTCTAACGAAGACGACAGGATCGAAAGGTTAATTGAACGAAGTTGTAGTATCTTGATAAAAGCTTCACAGACACATCCGAAGGATAAGATTGTAACTCCGTGAAGATGGCAGCACAAGACCGACCATTCGCTAAGATCACCCTTCAACCCTCTCTCCACGCTAAATCCTCCTACCGATGAGGTAAAGAAGAGGAGCTTAACAAATAGCGGCACCCATGCGTTCCATTCTGGATCAGGTGAGTAAAACGTTGATTGTCCGGAAATTACGAAGATGACAAGATTCCAACGATGCCTGAAGCTGTTCTTCACCCAATGGGCCGTTTTTGTTAAGCAATGAAGATGAAGTTGATTGATTAAGTGGATATGAGATGTATGGGACAGACAGCACTTTGGTTCCTGTCATACCATTCCAATCAGACCTTGTCATAATTGCCGTAAGTTTTCGTAAAAAAAGTTATGTCGCCTACAAACACTTCAGGCTGGGGGCAGAAGTCAGGCATTTACAACTCGACAACCTCGGGTGCCACAGTTCGATTTTACCCTAACCAAAAGCTATCTTCCGTTTCAGTACAACTATTCAAAAACAAAAAGAGGGTCAATATTACTGGAAAACATGGCATGGAGTACTGAAAAACGCTTCTGAAACTGGTTTCACTCCTATCTCCTGTCCAAGAATCGCTCAAAAATTTGCAAAAATTGGAAAATAATCTGATTATGAGGCGCCATTTTGGGAGCCTATACTTAAGAGATCTCCTACTTTATTTGCATGGTATGCCAAATAAGGAACATTTAAAGCCAGCAGAGGTCGGTACGTCAATGACGGCTCAATTAAGCCAAAGTCATAACAGATCATCTTTGGAGTCAAAAC